CAGGGACAGGAGAGAGCCCAACTGACCAGTGCTGACACAGGGTGACCTGGGAACCTGGGAGAAGGCAGAGGCTTCAGGGTTGGGCGGAACCCCACAGAGCCTTATGCCATGACCAGCCTGTGATTCATCCCCGGGCCAGTAGCACCTCCCCAAGATTCCTTCTGGCCGAGAGAAGCAAGGTATGCCCCTGAAATCGTAGCAGAGAGGGCTGGGGGCTGAATGCCTCTGCCTTCCTGTCGCCACCTTCAAGGGGCCCCCTACAGCAGTGACCCTGTATTCTCTCTTATAACTCCTGTATTTTTTCTTTGGGGGTACCTTCCACAACTGGTGATGATTTGTGCATTTATCTGTTTGCTTGTTTTATTTTCTCTCAATGGATTACAAACCCTAGGGGGGCAGAGGTGGCATCTGGTTCATCCACCCCCATCGCCCAGGCCTTACACACAGCTTTGCACATAGTAGATGCTCAGGAAATATTTACTGAATGAAGGCACAGGTCTCCCCAGTACCTGGTGTCTGGCTCTGCTCCCTCTGGAGAGATGGACTGGGAAGCCCCAAAGAAGCCAAAACATATCAGGATTGGGGCCATGCCTCTGTCATTCCAAGAAAACAACATAAGTGGAGCAAATTCATCACTTTCACAATGCAAACAATTTCTGCAGATCCTCAAAATATAATTTTCCAAACACAAATTAGTATTGTCATAGACATTGATTCCGTAATTTCTCACGTAGACCACCTGACTCTTTGAAGAATTCCACGAATGCCAAGGAAGGAGTTGCTGTGGGCTGCAGCCCCCGGCGAGGAGGCGGTATACAGAGATCCTCGGCAGTGCCGGCCCTCGGGGCTAGAGGGAAATTACCCTGATTGCCCGGAAAAGCTAGGCCACCACAAATCTCTGCTCATATACACAACGGGAATATGCATAAACAATATATAGACAGCCCCAAACACCGAAATTAAAGAACTGTTTCTTTCCAACAATTTGGTCTGCAGCTCTGACTATTATCTGGGGATAAATCAATTTGCAGCAGCTGTAGACAGCCATTTCCGTGTGAGTCCTGCACAGCTTAACTGGAGAAGCGTGTTAAAAGTTAAAGGACCTTCATCACATTAAGAACATGAATTTTTCTAACCATAAATTTATTTCACTGAATTCCTGAGCTGTAAAGTCACCCTACACTCTTCCTTGTAAATCAGAGGGGGTGTACCCACTTCCTGATGTTTGCCAATTTGCTATTTTTCCTGTAATTAGGAAAAAATGCAATTCACTAGAGTTACAAGCCCAGAGGAGATCCCTGGGTTGAGCTGAGTTGTTTAATATCTGCCTGGACTCGACGCTTTGTAAAGAATGACTCTATTGGGGGAGTGAGAGGGCGAAAAGAAATTATTATCCAAACACAGGATGATAGGACCATCGTCAGACGTGGTCGTCGGTTCCCTCAGAGTAGCTTTGATCACCACCTGTAAATGGATAGCACCATCAATTTATGGCACCTCGTGGTGGAAGGATGCAGAGTTGGGAAAATTAAAGCTAACAGAAAATAAAAATTAAAAGTGCTAGGAGGATCTGTGTGCTTTCAGGATGTGGGAAGACCAAGACTAGGACTGCACAACATGGCGCATGCCCACAGCATCAACTCAGTCTCTTTCAGAAATACTGTCTACCACACCTTCACCTCCTGGGTTAGTAGGAATCAGGAAACAAACAGAATTGACAATAGGCCCGTGGCAGCAGTTTCCTGAAGCTGTACTGGCAACTAGAAAAAGAATCACTTTACTCTTGTGTTTATCTTTAAAATGAAAGTGCTTTTCATATATCCCATTTCTTCCTGGTCTTTCAGTACACATCCTAAATTCTATTTTGTGGTGACTATTGGTGTCAATCTTGGGAAATCTATTTTCATTAACATCAGCCATCTACACAGGGCATTATGACGTATTGTGTAAACACGAGCGTGTTATTTCAGAATTGGTCATCTGTACAGATGCTATTTTATAGGAATTACTTTCATTGTTTTTGAAGAAAACATTAATATCCATAATTAAAATAAATATTAATGAAAAGGATAAAAACAATAAGCGCTTTTGTGGCCTAAAAAGCCCTCTGACAAGGTCTGGTGTATGGCAGGTACTCAATAAATATTTGAAAAATCAGCTGTAAAGAAATTGACTTTTTAAAAAGCCAATGGTATTTTACTCCTGCACATGGAAAACACCCCCATTTCCATTCATCCCTAGAAAAACAAAAACAAAAACAACGCCCAATAATCCTCCTTAATTTTAATCGGGAGACAGCAAACATACAAATAAGAAAAAAAAAAGAGCCGTTTTGTGGAAAAGGAATTATTTCCCGTGACAGATGTGTTCTCCTTCTTTTCAGTCCCCGGTCCCGTTCAGTCACCCAATAATTCTAGAGGTGAACAAAATGGACCCTTGTATCTCATCATCCTAATGACCCTGGCCTTCATATTTAAAATGTCATTCAGAGATAGTTTCGGGGTTGGCAGCTGCTGATGGAAAAGAGCAATAAATAATACTACTTCCATTTGCACGCAAGCCCTGCATGCAGAAGCCGCTGGAAATGCATTTCCAGCGGAACACCTTGGGACCACTCCTGGAATGCCACCCCGTTTGATGCCAGGCACCCGGCACAGCAGCTTCTAGGAGAGAAGTGAAGAGCAGCTTGCCCAATTGGAGTTACAGGGGAATTTAGGAAGACAGAATGTAATTACCTGAACTGGAATCTGGCCAAGGCACTGGGGCTGTTAAAAAAAAAAAAAGTCAAGGAAAAAAATAACCTTAATTCTCTTAGCTGATAAAAGCCAAACGTGGGCTTCCTTCTGTTTATGATTTGGCAGCGTGGGGTATCTAAATCATCACCAAACAATAAATAAAAATAAAACTTTGCAATTTCTAGCAAGCCCCCCTGACACACGCACACACGCACACACACACAAGGCTGCTGGCTGCAGATTCCTTTGTCCATGTGTGAGGTGAGGAACACGGCCGCAGAATCTCAGGGCTCATTTCCTTTCCCTTCTTCGTCCTTCGCTCAGCTTGCGCTGGAGATGGACAGCAGGTTCTGCGCACGGCCGGCCGGGTCACGCTCTCCAAAAAGGAGACCCCTCCCCAAATGACACCGGGAGGGTGTCCGATTGTGCTTTCACTGTTGGCAGCGCTAATTTTTCTCTTTTAAATCTAGGCTTCATTCTGACGAAATGAAGTGAATAAAATAATAATATCGCACCAGGGAAGTGAAATTTCATAGAGACCTTTAGCTGAGAAGTCTTTTTTTTTTTCCAGGAGGGACAGACATAGAGAAAGAAAGATGGAGAGAGAGAAATTTGACTCAGAAGGTCTGGAGGTCGTCTACATGCTTAAAATATTAATCAGTTGGCTACAGAACCCGCTCAAGAGGACGTGGTGCCAATAACGTCCGCGGTGTGCGAGGACGGCTTCCTCAGGAAAATTTGTCAGGCTCTTAACTCCATAAAAGGCAGAGGCGTCTGGGTGGTGTTTCAGAAGCGTCCCCGGCTACTGCGTCCCTCCCTGCCTGAACACAGTCCACTGCTAACGATCGGCTCCTAGGATAATTGCAGGAAGTTGTCAACACGAAAATTCCAGTTAAGCTTAGGGTTTGCGGTTTTCCCTGGAGAGTTACACAAAGGAGTCCAATATGACACCTCAAACTTTTGGGGGAGAAAGGCACATTTGTATGGCCCAAGAGACCAGAGTTATCCTTGTAAAACCTATCGAACAAAGAAGTCCAGTTGACTAATTCATTTTTAAACTGGAAAGGCCATTTCTTTTATATCCTGAAAACAGTGAACACCCATAAAATTAAAGTGGAAAATTTACCATTTCATCTGATGGTCTACATCTCCAATAATGTCGAAAATCTCCATCATTACAGACAGAGTTTTTGAGTGTTTTCCAGCAAGCCAAGACATCTGTACATATTTTTTTTAAAGAAAAAAGACGTGGAGTCCGTAAGTGCAAAGTGTGAAATGAGTTGGGGGAGGGAAGGAACAAAAGCAGACAAACGAGGGGCTGTCGGAGGCATTCCTGTGAATTCATGCCTTGGCTTATTTCCAAGGTAAGGAAGGCTCACAATAGCTAGATTAACCCACCGATCCTGATTGTTCACTTCTACAGAACTATAAGTAGTCCGATGATCCTGGATTGAATTAGTTTACAATTCTAAAGCAAAATGCCCTGCCTAATATGTTTATATTTCTACAAATCTATGCTTCTGAAAACAGGAAAAGGCAGGCTTCGCTCTCAGCTCAGAATCGGCCCACTAACTTGTTTAGGGGGCGTTGTATTTCCATACGCTTTGGCGAATTCGGGCCACCACTCAGATCAGTTGGGAAGGGAATGGTGGTTCCTCCCACCCGTGATACAGACAAAGCGGGTGTCCGAGGATTCTAGAAAGAAGCCTCCCAGGTTTCTCTGATCGTTCTGAAAAGCTGCTGCTTCCTGAGCCTTGTCACCCTCACTCTCTGGCGTGAATCCTTAAGAAACCTTAAACTCACCCCCAAAAGCCATACCCATTTGGTTTCCAATTGGAATATCAAGAACCAGACCCAACGCAGTCACTTCCAGCACAGCCTCTCTCCTCCAGTGTGTGTTGTTGGTGTTCGGGGTATGTCTTCTTTTCCAGACACACGGGCCCCAAACATAGGTGACCCCAACTGCCCCATTTGCATGAAATGAGCAGTGAATGCATCTAACAGACACCCAACCCACACCCACTCCCATCAAATCAGGGTGGGAGGTGCAGGGTGGAGAGGGATGCTTATTAATAATTCATCTCAAGCAACCCCCTGGAGCAGTTTCACTATGATATGCTGTGCAGAATGCTTCAACACACTAATTAATATTTTCAAAGTGTTCCATGGGCCCCTTTTAAAAGCACTTTTGCTATCCATTGAATGTTCTGCATTATAAGCGAAAGATCAATCCTGTCCCCCAATCCTATTGACGAGCTGTCTAACCAAGGTAGGATATTAGGAGTCAACAGAATTTCTTTCTCCCTTTAATATCACTCCTCAAGTATTGGGCTGGAAACCGGCTTCTCTTCTGAGACCAACCGTTCCTCCCATTAGTTACAGAAAGGCGCAGGCCACCAGGGGGGTCATATGCACAGGCTGATCACATGGTCCCTGCCTCACACCACCCAGAACAGAGACCCAAAGGACAGGGTCGCTGTCCCCTCCAGTTGTGATGGCAGCAAACTCCCGCAGAAAGGGGCCTCAGAGGGCAGACCCCATCACAGTGGAGCTCCTGAGTGAGAGAGCCAAGGAGATGCAAGTCAGCCTGGGCGCTCCCGGGGGCCGGCCGCTGCTCAGAGACCTCTCCCCAGCACCGGGCCATGAGGCGTGGAGCACAGACCCCCGCCCTCCAGCGTAGTTTCAGGGCCTGACCCTCCCATGACCTCAACCAAGCAGAAGCAGACACAGCCTATCCAACTGACCGCGCAGAGGCCGTCCCCCTGGCTTCGCTGCGGTGGACAGAACCCCAGAGGCAGTCCCCTCGGAGGGCAGCACACAGTCACTCTCAATGTGCCGATCTCAATGATTGTCCCTAAATGTTACCTGGAGACTATTTCTCAATTCAAATCAATTGTGCCTATTGATCCTGGCAATTAAAAGAATAGGAAAGAAATAACTTTTGCCCTTTACTATCTCGCATTCAAGAAAGTGATTTACAGAGTCAAATGGGTCAATGTGGAAATAACCACTTGACATGGTAAAGAAGCCTGTCCTCCCCGAGGCCTCTGGGGTGGTCTCTGTGGCAAGAATGGGGCCTGGGCCTCCCAGGGAAGCCTGAACACACGCTGCCAGTCCGGAGGCTGTTGGCCACGCTGCTCCCTTCTCCAGTCGATAGGCAGTGCCCATTGGAGCACAGTGTTGATGAGGATTTTTTGTTTATTGCTGTGGAATTCACATAACATAAAATTAAGCACTTTGAAGTGCACAATTCAATGGCATTGATTATATTCACAACATTGTGCAACCATCACCTCTCTAATTCCAAAACATTTTCATCACCCCAAAATAAAACCCCGTACCTATTAGTAGTCACTCCCCATTCCCCCCAACCCTCAGCCCCTAGCAACCACCAATTTGCTTTCTGGAGCTTTCATATAAATGTGATCATACAAAATGTAGCCTTTTGTGGTTGGCCTTTTTTCAGTCAATGTAATGTTTCCAGGGTTCATCCATGCTGTAGCATGTGTCAGTGCTTTGTTCCTTTATATGGCCAAATAATATTCCATTGTATGGCTGCACCACGTTTTATAGACCCATTCATCTGTTGATGGACATTTGGGTTATTTGCACCTTGTGGCTGTCATGAACAGTGCTCTATAAGCATCTGTGTAAGAATATTTGTTTTAGTCCCGGTTTTCAATTCTTTGGGGCATACAGCTAGGAGTGGAATTACGTATGGTAACTCTATGTTTAACTTTTGCAGAGTTGGCAGGGGTTTTGAGATTTCTCTGCTCAATGAAATAGTGCCGCTGCGGACAGGGGCAGTTTGCCCTGGGCAGCAAGCAGGGGCTGGAGCTGTTGCACTGCTTATGTGCCATTTAAAGGTGTACAGGTGCCCTCACGGACTGAATAATGGTCTGCCTCTTGCTTCTACCCCCAGATAAACATGTCATCCTTCGAACACATAACCTCACGTGACTTTGTTTTAGTAAAGTTGGGGAGAAGAGGAGAGAAATTCAGGTAACTCCTCTGGTTTAAAATCTATGTTATTAACAGCTTGCAATACTGACTCCTCGCCCTGGCATGTGGGGGCCTTATTCAGCCCTCAGCTTTCTTCCTCCCAGACCAGCCCAAGCATCCCTTCCCACACTGGACGTAACCTCTCACAGATTCCTAATCCCCTTTTCTCTGACCTGTGGCCTTTGCACATGTTATTCCCTATTCCAAAAATGCTTTTCCCTTCTGTGCCCGAAATTCATGCTTTGAAAACTTCTACTCACCCTTCAAGACCCAATCCAGATGGTTCCTTGTCCATCAAGCCCTCCTTGGCTCTCCAGTCACAGTTAACTTCTCCTCTGTGGTCCAGAACCTTCACTCCCATATCTATCGTGACCCTGGGGCCTGAGAGAGAACAAACACCACAGAATCACACAGACTAAGGTCTTCGCCCTGCTTTGTCATTGAGTTTCTACAGCTGTAAAATACACAATCATATAAACCACAGACTAACTCTGCCAGCTTGGAAAGGACTGTCGTGAGCATTTCCTGAAAGAAGAAAATAAGGACTGCAGGGCACCTGGCCCAGGGCGTGGGGGACTAAGGCAGTGGGGCACTGGCCGCAGGGTATTTTGTTGTTTATCATGCTTGCCTTTCCTTGTCCATCATGAGCACCCCAAAAACAAGGCCTATGCCTTTGCCCTTTCCCCTTTATATCGTGAGTGCATAGCCCGTCAAAGGTGCTCAGATAAATATATCTGTGGAACAAATTAATGAACTAATTCATTTAAAGGATTGTTCACTGTGAATGTGCTCATCCCAAAGGCTACAGCTGTCGCATGCTCTTCCTTTCTACTACACTGGCTTCTACAGTCCCAAAGCGACGGCTCCCTTCTTCCAGGCATGACAGAATCATCGCACTGTTCACATGGGCTCCCCATGCCACATGCAGACATTGGTGTTTCTGGGGTGCCCCTGTATGTACCCTCAGAGCAAAGCAGGGAAGAAGGCAGGACAATGTCACATCCTCCAAACCGCTCACTCATGAGAGAGAAAGGGAAATACTGTGGATCACACTCTATGTATGTGTACTTTTTGGAAAAGTACAAATGAGCCAGCTGAGGTGGGAGGGAGTAGCCGGAGCAGTGATGACAGACGGACAGGAAGGACCCAGGACTACGCAGAGGAAGCCTATTTAAGTAAAACTGAGCTGCCACTTGCAGCATTGGAATGAAACGTCCCCATCCTTCCATTATGAAACGAGGTCCCATGCAGCACCCCAGCCTCATCATTTCCACCGCCACGCCGTTGATGACTCCCACTGGGGGTACCTCATGTTCTCCACCTATCCAAATATCGCTCTCTCGTAATAGGCACCTAAGGTCCAACTTCATCCATTAAACCCCAGTAACTGGCCCAGACCACTGTCCTTCTCTCTCCGGATTTCTTCCTAATCATGTGGCTTCCCATAGATGACCTTGAATCACCAGCAAACTCTTGACGTGTCCTCTCCCAAGGAGAGTTGAACCTTTTTGAGGGCAGAGGCCATGTCTGGTCCACTTGGCACTCCCACAGCACACAGATCAGTATCTTATATATTGGAAACATCCAGAAATTCCTCTCAGCTGACTAGTTAAAAGGAAGAGAGAAGCAGAACCAAAACCATGGAAGAGCAGAGCTTGAAAAGGACCTCAGAGATGATGCACTTCAGCTCCTTGTTGCAGCCCTGACCGTGGAGCCACAATCCCCTAGCAGGACAGAGGCAGTGAGGGCAGAGCTCTCCCCCAACCCGACACTCTTTGCATAGATAAGGCTCTGAAAAGGTCTGCACTCATGAAATCAGTTCAAATGTATTTGACTTGTGCCTCCCAAGTATATTGGATTTTAGAACACTCCTCCCACTTCCCTGCAAAACGCCTTCTAATATCCCGTAGAAATAATGTTTTGCAAACACAATTAAGGCAATGCTAGTTAAACATTATCTATAATAACAGAGAACAAAGTAGTAGAACCAGGAGGTAAAATTATGCAGTTTGACAAGAATGCATTTGGTCTGAATATCAATTCTTAGTTGGTCAAGTGAAGTTGATTATAAAACTAATAGGGAAACTCCAGGGAGATAATTGCATGACATTCTTGAAGGTGAAAAAGTTTCCACTGGATCAGAAACAGGACTAAAGGAGTCCCAGCAAGGATCCTAGTGATCAAACCAAAGCTTTTGTGAATAAAATTGTTAGGAATTAGGGTCTGATTCAAGGTGAAGCTGGGAGCCATGGCACCTGGATCTGGGGAAGGGACATTAAGACCCAAGTCCAAGCACTGGGGAGCAGATGAGTAAGCTCTGCCCAGCCAGACGCGGAGACGGGGACTGCTGGAGCCTCAGGGGCCTAGAGATGATTCCATGTGGCCCCTCTGCTTTTCAGATGGGGAAACTGAGACCCAGGGCCCAGGAGTTCCAGGGAGAGAGGCCAGAGCTGGAACCCTGGCCTCCACATTCTCAGTTTGGGATCTCTCACTGGCTATCGCCGTAACCCAGGTGGGGAACATGGGCTGGTCATCTCAGGAGGCTGGCTGGAGTTCTGGGATGCAGGAGATCAGAGGCTGGAGTAGCCAGATAAGCACACAGGGGCTCAGCAGCCAGGTAATGCTTGAGCCAAACAGGCAGGTCACTAGAAAGGAGGTGCCACCTTGACCGCAGGGCTCCTCCCAGCCAGGGACTCTGTCTTCTTCCCAGCCTCATCCTGAGACACCAGCTTATGAAAAACAAAGACAACATCTACACTTCTGTCCAAACCAGTAATACAGACCTTTGCAAAAGACGATCAATGAGTGATGACAGAAAGGGTCGATTGTACCTTTCAGAGGAGGGTGGAATTGACATTCAGAGCAGAGAGGAGAGCTGACCTGTTCTGCCCTGGCGTCCATCCGCCGCCATTTCCCTTTTGCCAACTCACTGGTCTCTTCATACCCCTGGAGTCCTCACTGTACAGCCTGTCCTTGTGGATCTTTGCTTCTGACAGAACTCTCCCTCTGTACACCCCGCCAGGACCCACCAGCAAGTCTTCAATCAAGTTAAAATTACTCCAGCGCCAGGAAGCCGTGTGTAGGTGGACTGACCTAGAGAACACCAAGTAAATTAGGACTCTCCACAGCAACAGATTACAGGGCCGTTATGCTCTTGCAAAAGCACCCAGCCACGGCACTGGCTTACACAGCAAGAGCCACACAGGTTGGTTTACAGTGGCCCTCAGTTTCCCCTATTCACTCTATGCGGGTTTCTAAAAGACAGCTACTATGTGGGAGGAGGACCTCGATGTCAGGGTTTCTTGAGAGGAGCAGAGTGACTAGACATCAGAATGATCAGTGAGGCAAGGTTAGTAGAGTTGGAGTAGCACGAGAGCTGGAAAGAGAAAGACAGAGCACCCCCAGTTGGTCTCTGTATTCACCCCACCCAATTGCATCCGGATGTGGCCCTGAGCATCCCACCGACTAGCAAGGCTCAGCAAACGAAGCAAAGACAGATGCAAGGTCACGTGGCTAACAAACGAGGTGGGGCCACATGAGAACCCAGACACATGAACTCTGAAGCCAAGCTGCTCCCTCTGCGCCACACTGTCTTACAGAACTCTGGGGCTGCAGCTTCTCAAACTGTCTAACTCCGTGGCCTGAAGTACATACATATATGCATATGCACATGCATTCGTGTTTGTGTGTGTGCATGTCTGTGTGTGCAATTGCGTGTGCATATGTACACAGATATGCTAAAAGTTTCAAGAAATAGTATTTATCCTTACCACATGCCCTGAATCCTGGCACTTTCTCATCTGTTCTAATTTACGTTTACTGTGCGACCCACAATTTGAAACCTGATTGGACCCTCACGCTCCTTTTGCAGACGGTTGAACTGAGGTCCAGAGAGCTTGCAAGGATTGCCCATTTGCTAGCAGCAGAGTGGTGTGAAAGCTTGTTCATCCTGACCTCTCACCCTTGCCTCCACAGCAGGTTTCCATCCCCCAACCCTAACACCACTTCCTGTGGCCTTGGATCCTCGTGGCTCCAAAATCCCTTAGCTTTGGTTCCTGAGTCACACAGTTGTCACAAGGGGCTGATGTGACCCCACTATCTTCCCAGTGCACCCAGCTCCAGCCCAGCGCTGGTCTCAAAGCTGACGCGGCTGGGCCCCGCCTCAGAGGCTCGCAGGCAGACAGGTGGCTAATCACAGCCAAGGGAGATGCTGTAAGCAGCAGGCCACGCTCCTCCCCGCCCTGGGCCCTGGGAAGGCCTCCTAGAGAAGGGGTCTGGATGTGCTTGGGTCCTCGCCCACTGGAGCAGATCCAGGGCTTCCCAGACACCCAGAGGCCTCCCTGCAAGGCAGCCTTCATCAGCACAGCTCTGAACCTGCACCAGGTGAGCAAACGCAGGCCCTCCCATCAGATCAGGGCCTGAGCTGGGCTGCAGCCCATTTGTCCGGGCCAGTCTGGTGGTGTTTCGCAGGTCAGAGCCGGCTCTTTTTACTGCTTCTGCTCCTTCCAGGAAACAAAGCCCAAGACCCCAGCTGCAGGGGCCTCAGTGAGGACCACCCCGGCAATTCCTGGGTTTGAGAGCAGCCCCCTGTGGGTCTCTGGGAGCTCTGACCGCCCAGGGGACAGCGGGGCCCCACACTGTGGGCGCCAGGAAACGTCCAGGAGGCCTCCAACTCTCCTCCCCTCTTCCTGCCTCCCTGTGAGCCTCTCAGGGAGAGGGGCTGGGGAAGGGTGGAATGTCACATTTACACTCTGAGCACCCAGCTCCTTGTAAAGCTTAAGAGTGCCATCTTGTGCCTGAGAGGAGCAACCGCGAGGCGCTGGTGTCCCCACGGCTATGGCAGGAGCAGCAGCCTTCCCTTCTTTCCTTCTTTCTTTCTCTGGCCCAGCCAGCCATCCCGGCCTCTCTGCAGGACCTGCCACAGCCAGAGGTTCTCTGGCCTGAGCCAGGGCACAGCGATACCCTGCTGCACCTGCACCCATGCGTCCCACCTGGGCCCTGCGTTCCCATGCACCCTCCTGTAAGGCCTGGCTTTGTGTCCAGCCTGCCCCGGACACACCATGAACTGGAGGTGGGAGTGAATGACCAACCCAACCAGAACGTTAACTTAAAAGAAAGAGAGGCCGAGAGAGAAGGAAAGAAGGAAGGAGAGAGGGAGGGAAGGAGAGAGAGAGGCCAGGGAAGGGATGAGAACAAAACAATGGGAGAAGCACAAATAGCCTGCGGTTGGCTTACCTCCAGCTTCAGCCACAACTTCAAATTCCAAAAGCTCTGTTCCATGTTCAAAGCATTCAAATGACAGGCACAGAAAATGTGGTCACTTGAGGATCAACACAAATAAACGAAAAGACTGAAAAATGCCCAAACTCTCCGCCTGGCTT